CTTGTCCAACGAGTATTTGATCAAGAAGAGGAATCTCCAATGGCTAAACCAAGGGTTGTAAGTCTTTAAAAGATTTAGGGATATATTCATTAGAAGTCCTAAAACTTGTTACGAAGGTGCAATTGAGTCCTAAAACTTGCAAAAAGTGCAATCAAGTACTAAAATTTATCAAATTTGTTCAATCGAGTCATAAAGTTAACACCGTCCAATTTGGTTAACGAAAAATGCTGACGTGACGGTCTTATTATTTTTTCTATCCGACGTGGAGATGACGTGACTTTTTTATATTATTTTAATACTAATTTATTTAAATTATTTTTAAAAAATAAGCTCAAATTGAAAAAAAAAACACAGAGAAAAAAAAGAAAAAGGAGAAGGAGAGGAGGACAGGCAGGGTGGAGGGGCACCCTCCCCGCCGCCGCCCCACCATTGCTAGGAGGGGCCGGCAAGGGTAGGGGACAGCAGGCAGGGGTCGTCGGGCTCCAGCCAGGGGCCGGTGATCCTCACCAACGGCAGGCAAGGGCTTGCACGCCCTCGACCAGATCTGGGCGAGGGGTCACAACCCTCCCCCAAATCCGGGCAAGGGCCCGCAGGCCCTTGCTGGCCCCTAGCCGGGGCCCGGCGACCCCTGCTAGTCCTCCTCCTCCTTTCTTTTTTTTAAAGCTTTTCTTTTAATTTAATTTAAATAAAATTAGTACTAAAAACTAAATTTGGGCCAAAATGAAGTCGTTTTAGTCTTATGTTTCACACTTTAGCTGCATCATCGCCACATAGGAAAGAGAAAATATTAAAATATGCCACATAAGCATTTTCCATTAATAAATTTGACAGTGTTAACTTTAAAACTTGATTGAACCAATATGACAAGTTTTAGGACTTAATTGCACTTTTTGCAAGTTTTAGGACTTAATTGCACTTTTGCGACAAGTTTTAGGACTTCTAATGAACATATCTCAAAGATTGTTGAGGAACGTGACAGAATTTGAAAGAGCTTCTATTTTCCATTTGTCTTGAAAGCTCTCGTGCTCATAAAGTGTTCACTTCTTGTATTCTAATTTGTTCTCCTTTAAAAGGGTTCGTGTATTGTAACCTGTGATCAGAGAGTGTTTAGAGTGAAAGCGGTGCTTATGTTTTAGTAAAGTTATCTAATAGTTTTGAGTAAAAGCAGCACCTACTACTATTTGTGACCTCTGAAGGTTACTAATGGAATTTTCAACATAATATTTTATTGCCAGTCAGGGAGAGTAGATATAGGCTTGATTATAGGCCAAACCACTATATATCTACTTGCAAAGTCTTATATCTTTTTAATTAATTCATTTACTTGTTTACTAGAAGAATCGGGACCTGTTTATTTGTCTTCGCCTCTATGAAAGTACTCTTGTAAGTATCAGGAGAAAAATTTTAAAATCTGTAATCTCCCCTCTAGGTTACTAGGTAGTAGTGTTAGTCCTAACAATTGGTAGCAAAGCTTGATTGCTTGTTCTCTGAAATGTTGTATTTCTAAGCATAAAGATATTTGCAAATGGCTAACATGGTTGGAGCTTTGTTCGTTGAAGGTCAATGTATTTCTAGACCTCCCATGTTTGACGGAACTAACTATGGGTATTCGAAGTGCAGAATGAAGGTCTTCATTCAATCCATGGACTACCCACTATGGAATGCCATTGAAGGAGGAACATTTGCTCCTGCCCCTCGGAGAGTTCAAATTCCTGTAATTCCTGTAATTCCAGTAGATTCAGTTGAAGGAGAAGAACCAGCTACTCCTGCCAATGGTATTCCACCTCCAGGAGTCATTCCTCAAGAAGAACAGACCAGAAGATTTACTCTTAATGCCAAAGCGATTCATAGTTTACATTGTGCTTTCTCAACATCAGAATTTAACGGAGTTTCTTCTTGTGTGACAATAAAGGAAATATGTGATAGACTTGAAGTCACCTTTGAAGGGACTGACATAATCGGAGAAACCAAGATGAACATTATCCTAAGAAACTACAAGATATTTGAGATGAAGCAAGAAGAAAGCCTCACCTTGATGTACACGAGACACACTGACATTAACATTGGTATTGCAAGCCAAGGCAAGACGTACACCAATGCAGAGAATGTCAACAAGTTGCTGCAGACTTTTCCGAAGGAATGGAGCCACGTCAAAACTTCAATCCAACAAGTACTGAGGATTCAACCTCTATGAATGCATAAATTGATATGCAGTCTGATGGTCTATGAAGTTGTGCTCGAAAAATGATGAACACATCGCAAAAGGTAAAAGTTAATTGGTTTTAAAGTTGACACTTTTGATGCGGAAAGTTGATCTCCACGCATTTAACCCCCTCGCTCAAAGGTTGACGCGAACTTCCCCGCCCTTAACCTCCATTATAATCCAGATCAAGGTTGGCTCGACCGATGTGGAGTTCTCTATGGCTGAGCTTCATGATGAGCTTGAGCTCGGCATAGCCTTTTGTTTTGTTTCAAAGTGGGCCATGGCTGCAAGCTCGCGTGGCCGAGCTCTGAGCAGAGCTCGCATTTGAGCTTGAGTCAGCAAGGGGCAGTAGCACAAACTCGAGCTCGCATTAGGGAAAGTGGCAAGCGTGGGTGTTGAGTGGTCCTGGACTTCTCTCACCCCAAAAGTTAGTTCAAATGGTAAGACTTTCCTTCACACTTATAAACTAATCACTAGCCCCTTCTACAACTAATGTGGGAAATCCTAAACAATCTCTCCCTCACACGTCAGACCTTGGGTCGGAGCCGCGGCAACCCGTATCTCTTCCGTGTGACTGTTGAGTTCAAACTTGTTGGAAACCTAGGCTCTGATACCAATATTGTGGTCTTGGGCATCTCTCACCCCTAAAGCTAATTCAAAAAATGAGGCTTTCCCTCACACTTATAAACTGACCATCAGCCCATTTTCACAACCGATGTGGTTCAACCTCAACAATCTCTTCCCTACACATCGGGCCTTGGGTCGGAGTCGCGACAACCCGTATCTCTCTCGTGTGATTATTGGGTCCAGACTTACTGGCAACCTGGGCTTTGATACCAGTGTTGGGTGATCTTGGACCTCTCTCACCCCAAAAATTAGTTCAAAGGGTGAGGTTTTTCCTTATACTTTTAAACTGACCACCAGTCCCTTCTACAACCAACGTAGGACAACCTCAACAGTGGGTAGCGCAATGGCGGCGAGTTGTGGTAGACACGGTGGCAACGATTTATTTTGTAGGTGGCTGCTGGGCTGGGGAGTAGTTGACGGCTAGGGTTTTCTGAAAGAGCGGTAAATTAGTCTTGCAGAACTTGGGGTTTTATCTGGAGATGGAAAGTGTAGATTTCATAAAGTGGGAATGCCGATTGATACGGCTCCAAAAGTTCAGGACGATTTTCCCTTCAAAATTTCACTTGTATTGAAGAGTATTTACAAACCATTGAATACAAATTGATAATACCTTTGTAAGTTCTTGACTTCATTGGTAATAATTGTTTTAAATAGTAAAAATTAGTTGATATCTAACTTTTGAGTTTGACTTGGCTAAATTCCTTACCTCACTGTCAACTAACTACTTTTTTTTTTTTTGGTTCTTGTCCTACTCTAATTCTCAACTTACTTTCAGATTTTTACTCCATCTCTTTGCAAAACATGGGAGTCAAACCCCACACCTGAAACTAAAAGTCTCCACCCTTAGCCCACTTTGAAAAGGTGAGTATTCGAACTTCTCACCTCTCCCTTCCCATTTGAGAAGGGTGGCTACTAGGGCAACTCCCAGTAGTTAACTAATTACCTTATAAGCGGGTCTACACTGGTTACTTGGCCAAACATTAGTAAATTGAAGTGTGTGATGGTAAATGAATACAAATTGCTAAATCTCTTTGTATGTTAGCACTGTAAGATTTTATTATGATGCCAAATTTCTAAATAGGTTGATAACTTACTAGTTATTTTTACTTTGGTAAATTTCTTAAATTGTCGGCAACTTATCGCCTTGAAAGCAAGCCTACCACGATAATTTGACTAGTACAACTTTGTTTTGACTGGTTAATATCTAAACTTGTTGATAATTTACTACCCTAAAGTTGGGCCAACATTGGTAACTTTGTCAAATATGAGTAAACAGGAATGAGAATGAATAAGCTGATTACAAATAGTAAGGTTTTTTTTTTTTGGTCAAATAGTAAGGTTTGTTGAAGTAGTAAATTTCTAAACATAGTGATAACTAGCTTTTGGATTTGACGCCTGTAAACTCCTTACATTGTTGGTAAATTACCATCAGAGTACGAAGCCAACAATTTGTTGGTCCTGTAAATCAACCGATAGGATCTATAGTTTACTAGCGAAATTCACGGCACAAGAATGAAGTTGAATCACAATAGCCATTATGGACGGCACTGGTAGCCGTCCCTGAAAAGCTAGCAACGGCTTCACAAAGCAGTCGCTAAATCCCTTTAGCGGCAAGCTTAGGCGACAACGGGGCGACAAGCCTTGAGCCATCACTTAAGTCCATTCGGGCAGGTATTCTTGCTGTTAGGGATAGCTTTGTTCTTCACCGATTATCGTCTTTTTAATAGCTATCATTGTGAAATATATAAATTTTAGTTAATTAAATTAGAATGTCATTTGATAAACGCCATATATAAGTCAGTGTTATAGATCGAGAATGAATGTGAAATTATGTTGCTGCCATGAGTAGCGAAACCACTTGGATCCTTTCGAAGATTATTATAACTTAATGCGAGATTAAATTAAGTAAATCTACTGCATATCTTGACATAGTAATTACACTGAGAAATTGTGTCAATGTGAAAAGGAGGGTAAGAGAAAATCAAAGAATAGTCAAGGCAACGTGAAAACAAATGCATTTGTCGAAGTTATACTAGGTTCAAGCAAGCCAAACGACCAAACAAGCAATTATTTCCTTAAAGCCGTGAACGGATGATTCTTCAGTTTCATTACGCAATTAATGGAAAAAAAAAAAAACATCGATTCATCTATGAGAGTTTTCATTGTCAGCTTCCACAATCATGGGACTATGCATGCATTGTACTCCTTGTGAAATCAAATAAGTAGAGTTCACACTATATCTATGGCATGATTCCCGAGCCAAATTTAAGAGCTCGGAGTTGGTAGAGAAGGAGCATGAGTTTTCTTTGTTTTCCTCACACTTTTGGATAAATCGAGCACTTAGTTTAGGGGCATCCCATTGGGGGCCATATGAAGGAACAACGTGGATATTTCCTCACCGTGTAAATACTTGCGTCCAAGGATGTGTCCAAACCATTCGGTGATGTTTTTCCCAATTGAATCAAGTATCGAAACACAATTCAAAAGAAATTATTCATGTAAATTCTGAGAAAAAAGGACCACATACCTACAAAAAGATAAGTGGAGAATTTCTAATCATAAGAGATCATCGTAATATTCGAGCTCATGAATTATGTGCGGGATATGAGCAATCTTGTACCAGTCCTCACCTGCATCTTTTTTGCACCGCTCTTCCAAATCTGGGCAAGCTGCAATTCTTAGGTGACTAAGGGATGCAATCCTTCGCATCCCTTCAGGTAATGATGTCAACAACGGGCACCGGATGATTTCAAGCTGTTGAAGTGATTGAAGAGCCTCGATCTGCTCTGGTAAAGCCTTCAAATTTAAGCACCTATAAATACGAAGACGCTTGAGATTGCTAACCTATAGAAGCTACTGTGGGAGAGATGCTAGTTTGGGAATGTCAACGAGGTCCACAAACTGGAGACTCTTCAATCCTTGTAAATCCAAGATGTTATCGCTTTCGTTTTTGGATAAATTAAGCTCCTCACAATACAAAAAAGAGACATTCAACAGGTTCGTTAGATGTTGCATACCAAGTGAGAGGGAAGTTAACCGATGACAACAACTGATGCTAAGATCTTCAAGTGAAGTAAGACTTTGGAAACACTTCTCGGGCAAACATTCTAGAAAATCCATCTCTGAGATATCCAGACTCTTCAACTTATTAAGGCCAAATATCTGATTTATCAACTCTAGGTTGACCTTACTCAGCATTAACTCCTCAAGATGTGGAGTTAGTGGCATGGCTTTCAAGTTTTTGCAGTAACCGATATGTAATCTTAATAAACCAGGAAATGGTGTTGTGATGAATGAATGGTCTGGCTCGAAGTATTCCAATTCATCCAGCCCCCAAATACTTAAAGACTTGAGGTGAGGTAGTTGGCCCAATTGAGGGAGATATTTACATCTTCCGCATTGCTGCAAGTGTACCTCAACTAAATTTGGCAAGGAAAACACAAGGCTATCCATCATCCACCTCGGAAAGCTCTTACCTTTATATCCATTTATCTTCAAGTTCTGTAGGTTTGAGTGCGGCATCAGTCCATCTAATAGAGCTTCATCTCTATCCCCGATTACTTCATCTTCAGTATCAAGATAGCCCCATCGAAGTTCCAAAGATTCTAAAGAATGCTTCCCTATTAAGTTTGCAGCCTTGGATTCTTGTATTGCATTCGTCACGTGTCCCAAATTTTCAATCGTAATGGTTCCCCCAATGTTATTAAGCCCATTTAGCTCCCCAAGTCGGCAATGAAGAGCTTTATCTTTGGGCAAAATGAAGCGTGTTAGTCTATGCAAAGAACTTAATTGCCCTAGTCCATGTGGCACATAACTAAGTTTCCAACATTCATTTATGTCTAGATTTCGAAGGCTGACTAACTTCCTTATACCCCTTGGCAATTCTTCAAGGGCAGAACAACTATAGAGATTAAGTGTTTGCAAATTTTGCAATCTTGTAATGGAGTTAGGAAGCCTTTTGAGTGCATTATTGTGAGAGAAATCGAGATACGTGAGATGCTTCAACTTACAAATGGACCTCGGCACGTTCTTGATATTCGTGGCATGTAGATCCAAGATGCGCAAGCTCTTGAAACTTTGAATGAGTTGGCGTAGATCTACTTCGCTTGTTGGTTCTCTTTGTTCCATTTCCCCATATGTAGGTTCGGGCATAGCAGAAAGAAATGTTCTCAGTGAACTTGCTTTCAAACGTGAGATTGGAAGTTCACGCATCAAATTGGAAGTCAAACCATGAGATATATGACGAGTTCTTTCAAGTATGGATTTTGTGTCTTCCCATGCCACCCAACACTCAGTCCCTGCAACTAAGCCAGCTAGATCATGTATCATATCATGCATCTTGCAAGTCTCTATGTCTTTTTCATAATCTTGGAAGAAGTTACTTGAAAGTAGATCCACGAAATACCCATGAGCAATGTCTTCTAAATGCCGACTTCTATTCAATGGCTGGATAAATCCTTCTGCCACCCAAAGATTGATCAAAGTCTGCTTCTTTATCCTATAATCTTTGGGAAACAATGAACATAGTGCAAAACATTGTTTCAAATGTGAAGGAAGATGGTCATAACTTAGCCTAAGAACAAATACTATGCGGTCTTCCCTTTGAGACACTTCTAGGAGCTCATTATCTTTGAAATGTAACCATTCGGGTTTAGTTTTCTTAAAGAATAGTAAACTCCCAACGGTTCGAACAACCAATGGAACCCCAGAACACTTTCTAACTATCTCTTTGCCAATAGCTAGCATGTCAGGATCCTGCATCTGCTCTTCTTTTCGACAAGCCATTTGCATTAATAAATCAAGAGACACACTTTCAGATAAGCCGCCGAGAAAATGAGGCGAAGCAGTGCCAGTGATCTCCGCAACCAAAGAAAGACGAGTAGTTATAAGTATCTTGCTTCCTCTAGCACCTCCAGCCAATAAAGTTTTCAAGCTTAGCCATGTTTCTCGTTCTACACTCCACAAATCATCTAAAACTATAAGATCTCTTTCCACCAATTTTTGCCCTCAGTTCACTTTGCAACTGTTCCACCACAACCTCGATTTTTGTCCTCTGTTCACTTTGCAACCATTCCATCACAACCTCATTTGGTTCTTTCTTCTTTATACAATCTATCATATTTTTCACTATTTTTTTAACGTCGAAGTCATTAGAGACACAAACCCACATTTGCAAGTCAAATTGTTTGCTGACCGTCTCATCATTATATACACATTGAACAAGAGCCGTTTTTCCAAGCCCGCCAATACCAACAATTGGAAGGATGGAAATGTGCTCTTTCACGTCTGAATCCAGTAAAAATTTCATAATCTTCTTCTTATCATCATCTCTCCCTTTAATATCTCCCTCACGTATAAATGAGTGCGTCTCTTCTCTCTTGCTCCATTCTCTCTCAGGGCGCTCATCCAAGTGAAATCCCCTATCAGCCTTAATTGCTTATATTCTCTCCCTCACTGCTCTTACTGTTGTTTTTTTAAGAACAGAAGGAGAATTGACAGCAAAATCTGTATTTTGCAGCAAGACAGAATGTATTGGAAGGGAACTTCTATATCTATTCAGAAAACTGAAATTGCTTAAATACAGACTAAAGCTTTTCCACTAACTACACGTTGCCCACTAACTACACTTTGCCCACTAACTAACAACTTGCTTGGTCCACAAAACCAGTAACAAACTAACAAAGCAGTTAAAGAAAACATGCAGCTAAACACTCCTACAAAATAGGACTGACCAAATAAAACCACAACTAATTAACTCCTAGATAATAGGACATCAGCAAACTGACTAAATAGAAAATAGATAGTGCAGCCTTGATACAACAACACTCTCCTCCTGGATCAAGTCTTTTGCACACTCCTAGCTTTGCCCGAGAAGTTCAAATCGACCAACATGAAATGACTTAGTGAATATATCTCGCAATTTGGTTTTTCGAACTACAGTACACCAGCTTCACCTCTCCAGCCTTCTGCACTTCTCTCAAGAAGTAATACTTGACCTTAAAATGCTTTGTTCTTCCATGAAATACTGGATTCTGTGAAATGGCCATAGTAGCTTGATTATCCACAAATACTGCTATGCCTTCTTCTTGCTCCAAATGCAGATCATCCATCAGCTTCTTTATCCATAATGCTTGATTCACAGCTGCAGTAGCTGCAATGAACTCAGCTTCTGCAGTTGATTGAGCCACTATTTCCTGCTTCTTTGAGCACCAGGAAAAACATGCCGACCCAAATGTAAAGCAATACCCTGAAGTACTTCTCATATCATCCACAGATCCTGCCCAGTCACTATCAGAATACCCTTGCAACTTAAACTCCTGAATTCTGCAGAACTTAATTCCATATGAAAGAGTACCTTTCAAGTACCTCAACACCCTCTTTGCAGCTACCATATGCAACTCACTTGCACAATTAAGGAATCTAGACAAGACACTTACAGTAAACATGATGTCTGGCCTAGTTGCAGTGAGATACATAAGACAGCCAATCAAACTTCTATAAACTCTTTCATCTGCAAGTTCTGATCCATCCTTCTTTTGAAGCTTTTCCTTCTGACCCATTGGAGTACTTACACTCTTGCACTCCTCCATATTGAATCTCTTCAGGATCTCATTCATGTACTTCTTCTGACAGATAAAAACTTCATTCTGAGTCTGCATAACCTCCATCCCCAGAAAATACGACATCTCACCAAGATCAGTCATTTCAAACATCTTCATCATCTCTTGCTTAAATGCAGTAATCTGAGCACTATTACTCCCTATCACCAGCATATCATCCACATAAAGAGACACCACCACTAAGTCAGATACTAACTTCTTGACATATAGAGTGGATTCACTGAGGCTTTTCTTGAAACCCAGGCCTAGTAAGTGCTCATCCATTTTACTGTACCATGCTCTGGGAGCTTGCCTCAAGCCATAGAGAGCCTTTCTTAGCAAATAAACTTTCTCCTCCTGGCCTGGTGTGACAAAGCCTTCTGGCTGCTCAACATAAATCTCCTCCTGCAACACTCCATTCAAAAATGCAGATTTCACATCTAACTGATACACCTTCCATCCTTGTTGAGCTGCCAAAGCAAGAGTCATTCTAATTGTATCCAGTCTTGCCACAGGAGCAAAGGTTTCTGAGAAATCAACTCCCCAAACCTGTGCATATCCCTTCACCACCAACCTGGCCTTATGCTTATTCACTGAGCCATTAGGATTGAGTTTGGTCCTGAAAACCCATTTTACTCCAATTACCTTTCTGTCTTCAGGCCTCTCCACTAGCTCCCATGTCTGGTTCTTTTCTATCATAGCCAACTCTTCCTTCATTGCATTCATCCACCTCTGATCACTTTTAGCTTCCTCATAACCTGCAGGTTCCAAAACAGCCACACTACACCTCTGATATATATCAGTAAGAGATTTGGTACCTCTAACTGGAACATCATCCACCAGCTCATCAGGTTCCAGTGAGACCTCCTTGTGCTTGCCTTGTGGCTCATCTGTCCAATCCCATTGCTCATCTTCTAGGAACTGAACATCCCTGCTAGTGATCACCTTCCCCTGTCTGTGGTTGATAGATCCTATAGGCTTTTGACACTAAACTGTAGCCAACAAAGATCCCAGGTTCAGCTTTCTCTCCCAGCTTGTCTCTCTTGACCTGCGGAATATGAGAAAAACATAGACAGCCAAACACCTTCAAATTTCTTAGAATTGCCTTAACACCAAACCAAGCTTCAAAGGGTGTCTTCTTCTCCAATAACCTTGTAGGCAGTCTATTCAGCAGAAAAACTGCTGTGTTTGCTGCTTCTGCTCAAAATTCTTTTGGTAGATTCCTGTCATGTAGCAGACACCTAGTCATCTCCATAATGGTTCTATTCTTCCTCTCACTAACTCCATTTTGCTGTGGAGAGTAAGGAGCAGTAAGCTGATGCTCAATTCCAGCCTCTTCATAGAAAGAGTTGAACGTCTGTGAAGTGTATTCTGTTCCATTATCAGATCTGATGACCTGAATCTTGCAGCCACTTTGGTTCTCAACCCATCTCTTAAACTTCAAAAATACCTCAGCAACTTCTGACTTTTGCTTCATGAAGTAAATCCAGCACATTCTAGTATAATCATCAATGAAAATAATGAAATACCTGCTGCCATTTAGTGAAGGAGTCACTTGTGGACCACAGAGATCTGTATGAATCAGCTGCAGCTTCTCTGTAGCTCTCCAAGTGGATTCCTTGAAGGGAAGTCTTGTCTGCTTGCCCAGCAAACAAGCCTTGCACCTTGTGATTTGCTCCTCCAGGCTTGGTAACCCAGTTGCCATTTCATTCCTCTGCATGAACAGCAAGCCTTTGTGATGAAAGTGGCCCAACCTCTTGTGCCATATCTCTGAATCACTGGCCTGACACTTGAATGCCACATGCTCCTTCTCGAGAGGATTCAGAGAAAAACTCTTCTATCGCATCTTTATCTTGAACAGCTCCTGACCACTGGAGTCAAAGATCAAACACTTCCCCTCTTCAAATATCACCTTAAATCCCTTTTCTACCAACTGCCCCACACTCAGCAAATTCTGATCAATTTCAGGCACATACATCACATCAGAAACCAGCTTAGTTCCAGCACAACTCTCTATTGCTACAGTCCCTTTACCTTTCACTTCTAAGTACTCCCCATTCCCAATCCTCACTCTTGACTTCAATGACTTGTCAAGGTCTATAAATAGCTTTTCATCACTTGTCATGTGGTTTGTGCAACCACTATCAACAAGCCAACTGTCACATGGTGTACTAGAGGAGAAACAAGAGGCAACAAACAGTTGATCTACCTCTTGCTGGACTGCAGCATGTGCCTCACCTTGTTGTTGATCTCCCTTCTCTTTGCAGAACTTCTCAATGTGTCCAAGCTTATGACATTTTCTGCACCTTACATCTGGCTTCTTCCAACACCTAAAGTGTGGATGATTCTGTTTTCCACAGTGCTGACATGAGGAATACCTTCTCCATTGTTCTTGGAGTTGCCGCACTATTCTCTCCTGCAGCAGCTTCTGAACCACTACTGCCATTCCCTTTCTTCCCTTTCCACTTCTTGCCTTTTCCTCCTACATTTTGCTGTTCTTTGGCCTGCAAAGCTCCTTCTGTGCTTCCTTCCAGCCTCATTAACCTCCTCTGCTCTTGTGCTTGCAGAGCACTTAACAATTCTGCCAACTTGATCTGAGACAAATCCTTGGTATTCTCCAAAGAGGCAATGGTTGCCTCAAACCTTTCAGGCAAGGAGACAAGAATCTTCTGCACTAGCCTGTTATCAGAGAGGTCAATGCCTAGAACTCTTGCCTGATTTGCAATGTTTATCAACTTATCAGAATACTCCTTAATTGTCTCAGACTCCTTCATCTGTAGTCTCTCGAATTCTGTGATCAGATTTAGCCCCTTCATGCTTCTGATCCTCTCATCTCCTTGATACTCAGCTTTGAGGAAGTCCCAGATAGCTTTGGCTGATTCACAAGCCATAATTCTGCTGAAAATGGCAGGTGAGACAGCAGCATATAAACAAGACTTTGCCTTTGCTTTCCTTGTTGTCCTCTCCTTGTGATACTTGATTTGATTAATGGTTGGATTGTCAGGAAGGGGAACAACTTCATAATCTTGTTCCACAGCTTCCCAAAAATCACAACCCTCTAGATAGGCTCGCATTCTCACTGCCCAGGCTTGATAATTTTCTCCATCAAACACTGGTTGAGCCATTGCTGAAAAACCACTTGATCCTGCCTCCATCTTGCCTTCGGCTTCTATGGATGCAGACACACCTCTCAATCAATCTCACAAGTCACTCACAGCCCCTTAAGATCAAGAAGGCTCTGATACCAATGTTGTTTTTTTAAAGAACAGAAGGAGAATTGACAGCAAAATCTGTATTTTGCAGCAAGACAGAATGTATTGGAAGGGAACTTCTATATCTATTCAGAAAACTGAAATTGCTTAAATACAGACTAAAGCTTTTCCACTAACTACACGTTGCCCACTAACTACACTTTGCCCACTAACTAACAACTTGCTTGGTCCACAAAACCAGCAACAAACTAACAGAGCAGTTAAAGAAAACATGCAGCTAAACACTCCTACAAAATAGGACTGACCAAGTAAAATCACAACTAATTAACTCCTAGATAATAGGACATCAGCAAACTGACTAAATAGAAAATAGATAGTGCAGCCTTGATACAACAACACTTACCTTTCTACTCATCTTCAGTTTAAAAGCAAGCTGGTTTGACCTTGAAAAAAATGCCTTTACCTCCTTGATCATTTCATTGTGGCCCCTTAGTTCTCGTCGCATGGCTTCTATGTTGAATTCTTCAAGCACATCATGCGCATCATAAAAAGCATCTTTCAGTTTCTCAAGCCAAACTTGGATTTGGCGACTCCTGTAGTATTGCTCCTCTGCATCGTCCAGTATAGCCCGAAGCGTAGAGACAGTGCCTTTGAGCTTCACAAGTTCATGCTTGACGCCCCATAACTTTCCAACTTTTTCTAGTGCCTGAGGAATCAGATTAGCAATGATCTCTCCAGCAATGCTCCCGATGACAGCTTCCGCCATTTTTTATTCTCTCTCTCTCTGGATGAGAAGATATTACTCCAGTCGCTTATAAGGCTAGAGACTTCTCGGGACATGTATAACAAGTTCATGTTAAAGATAGGAATTCTCCTCAGCCACGCATAATAGAAGATGCTGCTCCAGTCAACAATGCATATGGGACCCACCAAGGTTGGGTCGGAGTTCCGTGAATGGTTTGTCTAAAGACTTTTCGTGCTTCTAGCTTTTAATAGTCTAGCATGCTTGCAAGGGCAACGAAGATGCTGGCGTTGAAGTGACATAGATATTTATTTAGCAGGTTGTTTTTATTTGACAGTTCCTAGGCCCAGAAGCAAAAGGAGAGTAGGACCAAGTTGAGAAATACATTTTCCATGGTATAGTTGTCCTATCGCCACCCTAAAAGGTCCTAACCACATGATAAATGCAATATCAACCAATCCTCCAAAGTTTTATGCTGTTACTCAAGAATTATATCCATTTAATAGTTGTAATGCATCGAAATATATATCTTTCCCATACTTCAACAATATAATCGAATGTCACATTATTTCAACGCAATCAAAATTTATTTAATCAATCACGCATAACAAACCATATTATAAATCATATATTTTACAATATTAAGGATCCGACCTTTAGGCTCAAAGGTTCAATGCCCTAATATATCTTAATTAATGCAATGGAATAATAACCGAAGTTTTTGCTATTAAATAATATGTATTTAGAACTATATAATAAAATTAAAACACCATATAAAATAAACAAACCTAGACTTACCTTAATTAGATTTAACATAGATCATCAAGGATAACTTCAAGGAATTGAAACAAAGAGGGGATGTGGCCGTCAAACTTGATGATCCGTTGGCGAGGGCATGACCGGTGGAAGCTCTGATGGGCGGCGAAAGCAACAGCTGCTGGACACCTGCGAAAAGAGAATTCGGACACAACAATGAGCTAGTCTGGTGCGGTGGACAGCTGCTGGCGTTGCTGGAAGTTGGCTTGGCCCGACAAGGGGACTCCCGGCACCGCAAAAACAAGCTGGGCAGTGGGGAATTCGCCAGGATGCCGGGAATGCACCGGTGTACGTCAGGCGCTGCTGGAAACTGCTGCAGGGATCTGCAGGGGCTTTGACATGCTGGTGGACGTCGGGAGGACTTGCAAGGAGGGGACAAATCGCTAGGCCTTGTCGTCGGAAGCGCTGCGGGGATTGCTTGGAGGCTCGCCGATGCTGTTAGACTGCTGCAGGGATCTGCCGGCGCTGCTGGAAGCTCGGTGAAGTGCCTTGAAGTGCTGCCGCAGCGGTCGAGGTCGTGCTGGTGTGGCCAGCTCGTCGCTGGAGCTTCTTCGTTCACCGACGTCACTGGGTGGGTTGCAGCCGTTGCTGGAGCGGCAGGACAGGTGGGGCCGCGCCGGTACAGCAACCTTGTTTCCTTCTTTTCTTTAACTTTTTTTGCCGTGCTCCACTCACCCAATCTGACCGGCTTGTCTTCCTCCATTTGTCCAAGAATCCTCTCTTTTAAATAGCCAAATTTTCCTCTCTCTCTCTCTCTCTCTCTCTCTCTCTCTCTCTCTCTCTCTCTCTCTCTCATCTCCGATTATTTTCTCTTATGTTTTTTTTCTTGCTCGTATATGTTCATTGCTCCTCAATAGTTCCTTACGTTCAGCCGTGAGAATATATGACATATATATGGCTGAACATGTTGCCAAGTTGGTTATTCTTACTCCTCAAATATGTTCTAAAATCACTTCCCTAATTCAGAACATCACATGCATTGCACATGTGGAATCCGACCAAGCAAAGGGAAATAACTGGGCTGGGTCTTGAAAATCCAAATGAGGTCAGGGCCCCCCATCGCTTCTAAATTCAAGCACATTTAGCATGTCAGGCCAGTTTGAATGCAATCCACGACCGAGTCAATGTAAATGAAGTCTGTTCAATTTGACATATTAAACAAAAATGTCGTAACGCGTAAATGCCTAAGTGCAATGAAACATCAATATTATGAATGTCAATAATTTTATTTTTCGACCAAAAAATAATAATAATTTTGTTTAGGGATCAGGGTCGATCCCTAATCTTCTTATACGATAATTGATTAAGTGGAATAGTCAAAATTTAGGTGTCAACAGTCTTCCGTCCGTTGCCTACGAATAGAATAATTTGAGGCATTCAACTTAAATACGGTGTCGTTGATTACCTCCATCATGCTAGCTCCCAGACCACTTTTGATGCAGCCTGGTGTAGGCTACTCGAACGTTAGGATCGGGAGAGTGACTTGCACACGTGGAACAGGACGAACAGTAATTACAGTCCTGCGCAAGCTCGGGAAAATGGATGTAACTTCGTCGATACAGATCGGAATGACCTGATTCCAAAGCCAAATGAACAAAGACTTCTGGATTGACAATTTCTCTGTTTTGAGTTTTCTCAAATAAGCAATATAGGAAGGACGAAATCGGGGTGGAAGTGGACGGATGTAAATGGACAGAACAGAGGAAAAGATAGAACTTCGTTGGTTGCTCTTCCAGGCCTCCAAGGAAGTGGATAGGGCACCGATTCTTCTAGATCGATGACTGCAACTCTTCAAGGATGCAGATTTGAAAACCTCCGACTCTTCAAGGACGGAGTGAAAACTCTTCTAGGTTTTCAGGGGTATGAACTCTTCAAGGTTCAAGATAATTGCTTGATGCAAACTTTTCATTAATCAAATTCGTCTCTTCGATATCTTCAAGACTGGTCGAGCGACTTGTCGAGCTCGGATGCGGGCTGATCTCCTTGGTCGAGTGAGCTCGTCTTCGATGCGGGCGGCATTATCAATCTGGCCTGCATCAACTTTGTTGGAGAAAAACAACAACAATTCACTAAGAACTTAAATCAGTACAGGATCAATATCTTCCCCAAAACTCAACCAACTTATATCAAAATAACCTCAGCGACAACCGGCCACAATATTTCAGTCGTACCCACAAAACCGGTAAATATAGTACAGAAAATTAAAGACGAAACAGAAAAACTATACCCACAATGTTTTATATATTCTCCTGATAGATACGTATAATTTAAATCTTGAATCAAAACGAGCCATTGTGAGTCAGAGAATTAAAAGATATTAATAACAACGTCGGCATGGGGTATAAAGAAGCATGGAATAATGACAATCTAATGAGTATGATGTCCTTTTACGGGAAACATCTCTTACTGGCTAGTTGACTGATTAATCTAAAACCAAAAGTAACTGGAAAATTGCCTTGTATACACTGGTCTTATTTAGCTTGTGACTAAGAGGAAACAAAACATTCTAAAGGGTTGATCTGTCTACACTTCGCTTTCCCTTTTTATGGTATCTACCCAAATGGTAGTTGGATTCTATAGTTGCAAAAGATTTTGCATAGCAGAGATATTCGGAACTATCATAATTAATCTATACAAAAGATATTAAACTTGGTAATAAGAGATGTTTATATGGCAATTCTTATACAAATGCAAAAAAGGAAAAATATGAAAGGTAATATGGCAATTCTTATCCTAGAGTAAAAAGGAACACTAATTAAAGATGATATGGTTAGGGCAAGTTGTCCACATTAAACTTGGTAATAAGAGATGTTTATATGAAATTAAGGATAATAGGGTTATGGCAAGTAGGCCACATCCGATATCCTCCCTTCTTCATCCTTAAATAGTTGAATGATGTTAAAATTGGAGCATAGATATCCCAAATATGGTCAATTCATCAGCTAAGCTCATATTCATTTGTTCTTTATTGCTAACTGGTTGTGTGGGAGATGTTTGGGGCAAGACACATGTTGTGATCTATAACAATTTGCCGGCTAGAACTACTCTAACAATTCATTGCAAATCCAAGGATGATGATCTCGGGATCCATTATATAACGAGCAGCTGGGAATTCTCATTCTATCCCCATTGGTATGGGAGGACATTGTTCTTTTGCAACTTTGCGTGGCCGAATCATTTTCAGAAGTTTGATATATACATGCAAACGAGGGACGAAGATCATTGTGATGTGTGTGCTTGGAAGATTTGGCCCGCTAGTCCTTGTAGGTTTAATGAAACAACCGGAGAGTATGATGTTTGTTATCCATGGAATCCTCCTACACAACAAGGGAGGAAGCCTCTTATGTGAATGAATGAGAGAGAATGATGTTAAGATGAAATAAAAATGAGCTTAGTTATCTTTTAAATATTATCTATGTACACATATGTGTGTTTCTTCTAATATCCTCATCATTTCTATTTCTATTATTGGCATCTCTTTATTATTTATTTCATCTGTTCTTGCTATCAAAATGTTTTGATGTAAATTTCTTTTAACAATAAAAAAGGTTAATAAGTTTGAACTTGTAACGCTGGTGTTGTATCAAGAACTAACACCCTTGAGTTCGTAAGTACGTAAAACAAAATTTATTTTGAAAAAGTTGGCAAAAATATGAGAGCGCTGAATTGAGGGGAGGCATTCTTCAGTCGACGGTATGTGGGCCATTGATCTTGTAGTGATCCTAAAAGCAATCTGCCCATGAGAGATTTGCAGTAGACTGTTCAGGCGGTGCCCATGTTAGAGGAATAATCACATTTCTAACCTTGACTTCTAATAATCTTCCTGTTCATCCTGAAGAAGCTGAAGATTGTAAGCAATTTTTGCGGAATCGAAAACGGTGTATGCTTCTAAAGAAGAAGGTATGGAACTACCATTATTGTACGTCGAATAGGAGGTGCACTTGTCGTCTAATGGAGATTAGTTTCTTTTCTTTTCAGACGATAATTACACCAGCGTTCACGGGCTTCAACTTCAAATACATTCTTACAACCTTGACCTTGACTTGCCCTTTGAACCAAGTCACAATTGCCTTTGCCCTTTGAACCAAGTCACAATCACTTCAATAGAACCTAATCACCGCTACTCTCCCTTAGTTCCTCATGGTCTCAACCATCACAGACGTCATCCAAGTTTAAGCCGCATTCAAACTCTGCCATAACTGTGGACTTCATCAAAACACCAACTCTATCTGCGCCAGTGGAGAGGTAGGCCGGGCTCCGATACCCGGCTTCCACATCCGGGACCCTAGTGCCCATGCCCAAGTCTCGGGCACGCTGGCCCGAGACCCGTCGCCCATGGCCGGTCCCCGACGACGGGGTTCGAGACCCCAACTACCGAACCAAGGCTCAGATTCCTCACCCGAGCCCGGTCCCCATCACCAACACTCAAGTGCAAGACCTTGGTAGCCATGCCCCAATCCCCAACAACTGGGCTCAGGTTCCTCGAGTATGGGCCCAGGTTTCTTTGACGCCGAACCCAGGACTCCAGCATCTGAACCCAATATTTGAGTTTGTACTTAGAGAGTTTTTGTAAAATGCGCGTTTCATGATTTTGCTATGACAAACATTAAAAAATCACTTCCATGTTGAGTTGGAAGTCTTGTGTGCATCGCAACTCAATCAAGACGTGAAAGCAATAGTCTGCATCGGCGCAGGGCACGGTTTTCTCAAGCTTATCATGAGAGCGAGAGAAACCTATGAGAGTCCGTTTTCATAAGGGCACCAAACCTAACCGAATGCTTTAAAAGCCAAAGTGATCGATACACAAGTTTAGAACGAAAATGGTGGCTTAACATTCTTCTAAACAATTACATGATAAATATGTGATAAAAATTAATGTACAATGAAGAGGGTTGTACTTTGTGGGGATCTACATACTCTTTAGGTTTGCAAAACAATCGAAGTCCCCTGTCTCAATCTGATGCGAGTACCCGAAAGAATTTATGGTTTTTGGTCGTGGGTCGACGTTCCTTAACTACGTCTGCTATTCTCTGTATACGTCACTGACCATTTCTTTTTTTTATAAAAGTATGACACGGTGTGGAGTTATTGCTTCAAAAAGTTGGCTCTTTCATAATCCATTATTGGATCCAAGGAGACACATGAAGAAAGATAACTCGCTTTCAATGGAAGAGAGATTCTTGAGTGATTCATAAGTAAACCGTTTTTATAATTGCACCAAACCTAACTAAATGCTTAAAAGGCAAAGTCATCTATACACAAGTTTAGAACGACAATGGCAGCTTGACATTCTTCTAAACAATTACATGAGTAATATGTGATAGAAGTTAATGTACAATGAGGATGGTTGTACTTTGTGGGGTTTCTATATTCTCCAAGAATTTATTGTTTTTGGTCGTGGGTCGACGTTCCTTAACTGATTCTGCCATCCTCTGCATACATCACTGACGATTTCTTTTTTAAGGAAGTAAGGCATGGTATGGAGTTATTTTTTCAAATAGTTGGCTTCTTGAGAATCCAATATTGGATCCAAGAAGATACCACCCGCCTGGGTGGCGCTGCTGGAGCGCGCACTCTTCTTCTCGCAAAAGGTTGAGTGTTCGAATCCCGGGCGCCGCAGGGTGACTTAACCGGTGGCACGTGTGTGGTGGCTAGCACGTGTCGCCCCCAGGGTTTACTCCCCGGCTGTCGGCCGTGCGGGGGTTCCCTGGGTTACCAAAAAAAAAAAATATTGGATCCAAGAAG